ATTATACGTATATGTATGCGTGTGAAATCTTTTGTAAAAATAGATAAGTAGTAGAACAATCTTTCTATAAAAAAATACATCCTATAAATATAACAATGTAATATTAATAATAAAATCTTGTGTTAGAACATCTTTGCCAGTTCACAACACAATGTCAATCTTTCACAGTTATTACTTGTAACCTTAATGTCATAAATTTTAAATATTACAACGTGAAACGCACGTCCACGGATTCACGAAATAGGAACAAACACATCTAAAGAAATATATTTTCGTCACACGTTACACAAGATTCTATGATTAATGATGATAAAGTTTCGCACCTTTTGGGGCCTGAGTCATTTTGTCGAACTGCGATCTGTCTATCCGACTTGTTAGAAATCAATCACATGAGGAGCGCGATCGAACTGATGAACCGAACTTGGCACTAACTGGACGGAAGATTTTCACAAAATGAACTGCACTCCGTCAATGGAATACGTTAGAATTGTCGCGTGCTTATATAAACCAACGCGAAGTTCGATTTTTAATGAACCCCTTCCGCCGTCAGTGGGAAGAATGTTGTCATATTAAGCCTCGTATCGTTTTGTCCCCACCACATGATTTAAAATGTTTTAATTACCTATACACATAATTCAGATAGAAAAATATGAAGATTATATCCTATTGTCTTAATCTCACACTCATATAAAACATGTTCAATTATCGCCTTCGCACTTTTCTCTTTGTAAAATTCAAAAATTCTACCGTTTATTTTATTCGTGACTTATGATTTTCCCAATCGTACATAGAAGATGTTTCTTTATTCCATTCCGTATTATTTTTTAAACTGAAAATCATGATAAATATTCTTTATCGATATTTTTGCTAAAAGATAAAAAAAAGTTAAAGAGAATTTATTGTTAAAATCCAGTGTGTAAAAAAAATGCTGTATATATATATATATATATATATATATGATATAATGTGTTTAAGTACATTGTATTTAAGATAATTAAAATATAATCTTTTTAATAGGATGATGTGATGTATCTTTGGAGGATTTCCGGTCGCTTGACATACTGAGAATATATTTTGCTATGTGTTTGCTGAACATGAAAGTCGGTTGACAAATTTTCTCGATTAAAGTTCGATGTTGCGCTTAATTCTAAAAATATTCTTTTGCTGCCGTTTTAAAAATTCTTTGCTTTAATTATTGAAATTATTATTGAAGATATAATGCAATTTCAAGGATACATTCTCGAGAAATCATAAAAAAATTTCCAGTCTAATAAAAAATTACTTGCACGTATATCATTAGGTGAGTCTAATAACTTCAATCAAATGATTTTTATTCTCATTTATTTTTAATTGCTGTTGAATATGTAAATGATTTTATTCGCGAATGTTTTTGCTGGATCTTTTTTTAACATTTTTTGCATAAAAAATACATGTATTATTACAATTTCCCAAAATTTATGCAAAAATATGTGATATTATAAGCGTAATTTTTGCAAGCAATGTGAATACAATTTGCGACAATGATGATACATAAGTAATACAACATTGCATTATAATCATTTGAATAATTAAAAGACATATAGTTTATTCAAATTTGTAAACTGTAAGATTAATAAATTAATATTAGTTATGTAAAAATAGTTATATGAAATTTGATTCTAAAAAAATAAAAAACGAGAAGTAACTGCTTTTGCCATATATTGTCAGAATTTATTATTTATCTCTTTAAAGTAATTTAAAAAATATTTGCAAGAGTTTTGTAAATTGTAAATGATTTACGCTGAGTCAAATCGATTTTTTGTTTTCCTTTAAGTGTAATGCGCACGTTTTCGCAACGCGTCCGCGCGCGTCAGCAGGATGCAAGAAAATAATTAACGACAAAAAACAAAGCGTAAAGAATAGATGCACGCGTTTTTAATGGATATTTGCTTACAAAGTGTTACCTCCAAGCTATTTCCGTTCTTATAGATACAGGGCAAGAAATATTATTCTCTCGTCTTTCAAAGTATTATTCTCTCTATATTACTCTATCTTCTCAACCATAAAAGAATAAAATAAATAAATAAATATATGAATATACAAATAAAAGGTAATATTATTTCGGCTGATTGTTTGTTGAAATTAAAGCTAAAGTATTAAAGTTGAAATTTCACTTTAGAATAAGTATCTCAAAACGCTGTCAAATAATTAAAGCTAACTTCTCGATTATATAGAAATGCTGGATGATGAATCTTGTCAAGCTTCAAATATTGTTATAAATAGATTAATGAAAAAATTAATGGAAAAATGGATTAATCATAAAACATGTTTTATTATTATTTTGTGTAAATGTTATACGTATAAATATATTATAATTAAAACATTATACATACAAATATATAATTAATAATTATTTAAATTTTATTGTCATTTATTTCTTGCTTAATTTTCATCTGAATTTAATGCGTAAAAGTATAATAATCACATCTTATTTGCATTTTGAATGTTAATCTGAATTAAATAACATAATAAAAATAAATGCATTTCTTCTATAAAAGAGTATCAAGAAATTTATATCATGACGTTTGTGTGACATAAAGAGACTAATTTCATTAAATCTGTTTATGTAACTCTCAACTCTGTTTCTCGTCAGTTTACATATTATACTAACATAACGTTGTATACTAACATAACTAACATAATGTATTTTGTCTTCATATTAATATTTACAATGAAATCAATAAAAAGATAGTGTATAGTAATGATGTATAATCAATAATCAGCTAAATTTGTAATTTTATTTATTTTGATTAGAAGTATTAATGCGGAAGTTTCGTATGAAGTTTCTTTTATTGAGAAATACATATTAAATATACGTTTTATAATATAAGCTGTCATATGCTTTAATTTTGTTATATAATTGATTTTTTAAAAATCAATTATATTTTTTAATATGTTAGAACAAATTATTTTTCGAACTATAAATATTCCACCATTACGTTTCTTGGATTTTCCGTCATAATAAGAATAACAGCCACAGGTATATAATTAGATTCCAAAGTCTTAAAGTTTTTACAAACATTAATTAAAATGCATAAAGGATATCAAGATTAAATTTCTTTCTCGCAATGATTTATAATCTGAAGAATTAGAATTTACAAGAAAAATAAATTAAAACCAGTTTAATAATAAAAAAATATCAGCTGAATAATTATTATCATAACTAATAATTAGTTATGATAATAATGACTTAACAATAATCAATATAATCTAAAAACTTATTTAAAAATAGGTAAAGATATATCTGTTATATATTGATTTTTGTTGCTAAATAAGTTTCCATTTTTTGCTTATTATGTACAGATACTGCGCAGATTACAAGCCATTGCAAAAACGCATTTATATTTATATATATTACAATAAAATATTAACCAATTAATATATATATATATATATATATATATATATATATATATATATAACTAATTATATATGTATATATACTATTTGTTTATATATAATATATAATATTGTGTGTGTGTGTGTGTGTGTGTGTGTGTGTGTGGTGGTGTGTGTGTGTGTGTGTGTGTGTGTGTGTGTGTGTGTGTGTATGCGTATTAACAATATTTCTTAAATGTAATACTTAGTTAAAATTTTTACTAAATAATGTTAGTAAAAATTGAAAAATCAAAAACCAAAACACGCACATATTATTATGTCCTGATATCGATAAGTTTCAAAGGTTATTGATATATAAAAGGGAAACACAGATTTTCGCATATTATATATCGAACATTGATCCGGCAATGATAAACAACCAATCGAATTATTGAGTGGAAACTTATCTGCTCTTACGTAATGAAGAAAGGCTCTTTGTTTTGATATGCGGATTTACGTATGCGTATATATGTATACATCGTGTTCACGATTCTGCATAATTTCTCGTGTTTTCTATGTGTGATGTGTGTGTGCGCGCGCGCACGTGTAGGTAGTTATACTATTGCTATAGTTGCATGTTCAGGCACACTTCCGACTTCGGATAAATTTAGTTTTACCTGGCCAAGCGACGATTTCCCTTTCTACGGGTGTAGCTGCCTGATGGTCTTTGCATCGTTTAGTGAGAGTTCATGCGTGGGAATTGCATAAGCGCTTTAAACGGCCGTTGTGAGCCACAGCTGAATGGCTTTCAATCGCGATATCAGAAGTCACATCAGAAGCTGGACGGATAATAACGTCTTCCGGGAAATTGATTTTGCATGGAAAACTTCTCTCTCGTCGAAAACACTTCTTCTCGATAAATATGAATTATGATATCTCCGTGCACGTTTTCTAAAAAATTAGCTCCTATCTAATTCTCCAGCAAATGATTTGGATTATTTATAGAGGAAGAGAGAAAAACAGTTGTACAAACGTATCTCTTCAGACTCATCATTCGCCTGGCAATCAACAAGATTGCACAAACCTTTCTCCACTGCCTTTTTCTAACGATGAGAGTTCAATAGTTAGTACTCTTAAGGAAGCTATCCGAGCTATCTTAGATGATAGGTAACGAAGATGGTGCTATCTCTTTTGTGAATCTCTCGTTACGAAACTTCTCCGTTACTCCTCCATTAAGTTAACTCGCGGGTACCAACTATGTGTGTCTGCGTGACAGAAATAATTGTGCGAGCTCGTTATATCTTAATTCCATCTCTTCCTCATAATCCTCTCGTAATACAGCGATTCTGTTGTAATGCAAGATTTAGTCCTCGAAGAGCTATTACCGTGAGGCTTCATCCCTCCCTCCCACTTCCCCGGAATAATGGAAAATGAATGTATGGGATGATCCCAGATGAAACGAGATAAGAGGATACTTTATACTTAATTCCATCTTGTAATCGAAGATAAAAAATAATCAATTTTCTACCGGACCGGAAACAGAAATGCGACTCGGACGAAACGCGTAGCCGTAATCTTCGCCAATAGGATTCGCTGATGGAAGTATAATCTATATGTTAGCTTAAGAACGTATTTGCATACACAATGGAGGAGCGGAAATCTGTCCAAATGAATGAATACGACTGAGCTCCAATCTGCTTTGACGATTAATGCATAGTCCCTGACATAATAATATCTTCTTGCTCGATCGATCGCTCGATCTCGCGACATATTCAATTCTCCTCGAGGTGATCTGGCTGATATTGACGTAAATACAAATGATATAAAGTGTATGTTAGGAGTTCTAAAAAAGTAATTTAAAAACACATTTACAGACGCGACCATGATCGACGGGTGAAGCCGACAGATAAAACATCACCAATAATTTACTTCTTGATTTCTTTCAGATTTCGTCATGATTGATAGTCAAATCAACGATCATCGAGCCGATAATATTGTCGTTAGAAAGTAACACGATCCATGATGGTCGTCGCGCAATCGAAGACACTTCATACTTCCTGCTGCATTCTAATAATAGTCACTACGAAACGAATTGATATAGTAGCTGTTACTAACGTTTTTCAATAGAAACCATTCAATTCAAGCGAAAAGCGTTTCGCATCAATTTCTTAGACAGATTACTCTTCAAATATGAATTGTAAATAATCTATTGACCTTAGCACTCTCGTCATCTCGTCTCGAATAACTAAAAGTTTCCTTTACCAGAAACGTGTTTCTTACCTGAAACCTTCCTTTATCTGAAACGTGTTTTCGCCGATTTACTTCGAAATTCTCTATAAATTGCTCTATAAATTTAAAACACATTTAAATATGTTTATTTCGTGTTTATGTTTATCATGGATTTACAACTTTTCTTTTTCACTCGAGCTCCCTCTCTCTGTTCTCTAGAGTTTTTCTCTCTTCTTTATATTATAATTATTTATGAGCAATCGTAGACATAAATCGTGGACATAAAAATTTGCAAGTAAAATCACCGCTGCGTGTTAAGGTGGACGATAGCACGATTGATGACAATAGAACAACCCCTATTATTTATTACTGCAAGAAATGTCATTAAGTTGAAAAAGAAAACACATTTTAATTAAAATATAGAAACTGTTCATTCGCCTCCCAGGCGCCGTTTTTATAATCACCCCGCTGTTCACTAATGGCACATTCTCCCGGCTGATGCGGAGCGTAACGAAACGATCAGTAATTTTTATGGACTGCGATATTGAAGTCTCCGTGTGTGGTAATGCATGAAGTGACGATGCAAGTTGTGGGTAATCTCGAATATGATTGATATATGACCTAAAAGGTGATCACGTATAGCTTTTTCTTCTGTCTTTTCTGAGACAATACTAGATAGACCACTAAAATTGAAGTTTATCAAATCCCCATAGATTAACAGCAATTAAAATTTTGTAAACAACTCGAGATTGACGCTCGAGGAAAATCGTTGTTTCAGTTCGTGTAGATATCATTATTTATAAACGTCACGTCTGATATGTCAATCTTTTATAGTTCTATAAAAATATAATTACCTCTGTCAAATCCGATAACCCAAGTCGAGAATCCGGATATGATCTTGCGTTAATTAATTCGGATTACGGAGAGCATGAGCTATATCATGAATTAATATCTAATTTACTATATGTATCATACGTACAGTTTACGTAAATTAATATAATATAATTTATGATCATATATATACGTACATCTATCACAAGTTTCATTACGACGGAAATTAATGAAATAATCTCGTATTACAATCGATTGCTTACGCCTAATAACACTGGCGAGACTCACCGCTACCTCTGCGACATATTAATTATATTAGTCGCATAATAGAAGCTGCAGAGTTCATCGATCATCTTTAATGTATCATTAAAGCACAATCTTGATCTGATATTAACGCAGTTTCAACCTCTTGTAATTCATAACAAGACGATTTTTATCTTTTTATCAAATTCTAGTCTTGACATGACTGCCACTTGATTCTGCTAATCATAGGTCAGCGATTTTACAAGTTTGACATTAGCTTTGACAAAAAAGAGACAGATAGATGTATCAATTCAAACGTTCGATCTTATCGGCGACATGCAAAGCAACGCGATGTCGGACCAGAAACACCGTGTCCGACGCCGTTGCCGGTTAACGGTCCCTGGAAGATTCCGCGAATCCTTCAGGAAGCTGAGAGTTCATGAGTAGAGTTCGGCCCTTCCATCGCTCTCGGTGGAAAGGCGATTGTACGCGGTCGTGCAACTTTCTCGCTGCCGGAATCGCAAATGCGGAAGAGGTCGGAAAGTACATGAGAGTTGCTTATGGTACGATTCACCGAGTCAGTACCCATAGGATCGCTGTCCCGTAAAGATCGTACCTCGGCTCCCACCGTTTTCGGCAGCCACCCGGTGAGTCGTCGTTCAATCGAATTCCGATCGCGAAACCGAGGCCGTGAAATATCGCGTCGTCATTACGTCGAGCATCCAGTCGTGAATTGCAATGCTAATCTAGCTGAATTAATTCGTAACTTTTGTATTTGAAACTCCGAGGAGCTTTTAGTGACTTTATTCGTTGGGAAATGTCGGGAACGTCGGAAACTTTGTCTCTCCGCGAGAGACAAGCTTTTTACTCGCTGTGTTTTTCCATTTAAAGAGCTGTCAAGAGACTTAGAGAGAGAGAGAGAGAGAGAGAGAGAGGAAAAGGGGAAGTTTTTATTAATTTTAATACGATGCTCAATGTGTATATGATGTAATATCGATGTTTCGTCATTATGTAACGATGAGTATTCAATTTTAGATGATGTCCATTTTAAACAAACAACATCATGTGTTGTAATTATAAATATTTATGAGCCTTAATAAATCTTAATTGTTGAATTTACATACGTTTTTGCAGTTATTTATCAGTTTTATTGTTTCAAACGTCAATCCTATAAAAAAGAAAAAGGTTTCCGTTTGAGAATACATTGCTTTTTTCAATATTTTTTTATTTCTGCACTTGCTTAATGTCATTATAAAAAAATATAACAAACGCATATGAGACAGAAATATTGAACAATTTGAAATTTTTTGCATACAAAAACAAACATGTTATCAAAACAATTTGTCAAACTTATGTATAAATAATTAGTTATCATCAATAAACAAATACATAGTTAATTATTAGAATTTTAAGTAATTGATACAAAAATTTGAAAAAATTATTTATAATTGTTAACATCAATTTTATAAATATTAATATTTGACAGAGAATACATGATAAAATTTCTAACTGATTCTTGTGACGATATAAGAAATAATAATTGAGATTTAAATTATGAGAGCGATTGATGTTACATACGATGAGATACTATTTCTTACAATAAAAAGTTTTATTGTAAAGTTTGAATGAAAATGAGATGATTTCACTTTCAAACTGGAAAAGTAAAAGCTCATAATTATCAACAAAGAGAAATGGTTTAATACATTGAACATACAGAGATAACGCAACAATATTTTCATGGACTTTTATAGATCAACTTTCTAACGATCTTCATCGAGATAAACACGGTTTTACGCATGGCAGAAATTTAAATCAACAATTTTACTATTTCCGTTTGAGTACTCCGTAAAATCAATATTATGTAAAAGACGTTTCAAGATATAGTTAGAAAGTTGATACAGTTATAGATCAACTAGATATTAGACTTAATAAAAAAAAGTTTGAAAGAACGAGAAGATTGAAATTTTTCATGGCCAATAATCTCAATAGAAAACGCCGGTACGAAGTTAGTCCATGTTACACGCGATTATGCACAGTTGCATATAGACAGGCGCTTCGAGTCAAGTTAACGGAGATCGGATTTTTCATCATTCATTTCGAAAAGATCGGAAACAAAAATTTCGGTTTACATTATAATTAAAATTTTTTCGTTTGCAAAAAATAATGATCGATGTATGTAGAAACATGCATTACATCACGAACAAGTCAATGCGAATCTTGAAAGAGAGAACTTATTCAAATGCATATTATACTTTCAAAGGTCGACCTTGACGAATTCGCGGTCCTTTTCAGACAAGTAAGAATCTTTTTAAATTTTTAAATAGAGTGATCCACACAAGAGTGTTACGAGTGGTTAAAAACTATTACAAGGGTAAAAACAGCAAAATCACTTTTTACATTTATCATGATAAGAAATATAAAAAATTTTGCGATAATAATTTTTCATCGGGGAAAAGAGAGATAATCAGTAAGTTATTAGAGGTAGACTTAACTTTGGCTTTGAAATCGATATATTTCAAGTTGGTCAAAAATAACAACGTGTAGTTAAAGATATAAATTATCTTATTAACTTGAGTTTATATATAAATTAAAAAAGAAAAGGTTATTAACCGCCAAAGATCCTGCCTTACAAGTTTGGCCGGTATTCTAATCTTGTAATAAACAGAGATCTCTCTAAGGAAACAAGCTTGATTAGGAACACCTTTAGGATCTGTGTCCCATATCCCACAAATTCTTAACATATATTTTCTACAGCTGCATATGCATCGATCGTAATTTGAGACATCAACAGCGATAAATTTAGTAAATTCAGATGATTCATGTTATAATTATACTATATGTTATAACAATGAATTCTTTTAATTTACTTTTATTTTTATTACGACTCCCAAAAGATTACTTAGGAAGTTGAGATGAAAAGAATAAAACTTTCTAAAACAAAAGCACGTCCGTTAATCTCCTGCAATATCTCTTAGATGTTGCAACGTTATTACGGCGCCGGTCTACTTTCAGTTCGTTACAATGTGGCATTCTTTGATGTTTCGTGAACAGGACTCGGCAGTGATTACCATAAATAAATGCAATAGTAACATAAGAAACCGAATAATTTCGTAGAGTTTCGAGGAAAAAAAAGTTCTAAGGCTTTAACGATAACGCGCATGCAATTAGACATGGAAAATATATTATTACCGTTGGCGTACATATGACGAAATACCGTCGAAATCAACAGAGAGAAAAAGCATTAATAACATATACTTTAGATTACGTCAACGGAACGTCGTTATGTCGTTACTGGCTAGACGTGAACTTTCATGCTCGATCACGTGTTCCATTATAGTACATACTCGAGGAAGATTTTATAGCAGGCTCCCACGTACATTCACGCGTGTTTCTTCCAAGGATTCACACAGCTAGATTCTCTTGTCGAGTCACGCTGAGAGTGTTCCATTCCGCTTGCGGCGCGATCCTTCATTCGATAGGACCGTTTATAAATTCAATTTATCATCAACACTCTTTTACTTTCTCATGGAATTTGTTGATAATCACGCGACAATTGGCCTATTGAGCTGCGCAGGGAAGAATAAGTCTTTGTCCGAGCGGAGCACGAGATAGCCGTAGCCGTACGTAGTTGTCAGTGAAAGCGCCAGACTGAGAAACGCAATAATGTGACCGTGACATATTTAACAATGCGTCCCCACTGAATAATTTCCCCCCAGCTGTAATTTGTAGCAGGCGAGGAGAAGTCACAATTCCGTGCTCGTCCTCTTCCGATCGCTTGAAACTCAACTTCGTCGGTTCGTCTTCGTCTTCCTCTTCCTCCGCATCATGCGGTTTTCATGCGAACGACACTCGCGTCTTCTCGCATTGCTACTTTGTCGCAATTTCCGCGAGGCCTTTCTCTCTCTGTGTTGCAGCACAATGAATGACTCGGACATTCTGCATTCGTTTGCATGCGCGCTATGACGTACGGCAAACAAATGATAGCGTTATGTCATAGATAACGAGATATCTTCAGTATGAACGTGCACGCCAAGTAAACTTCGTGACGTAACGTTGAAAAAATTCGCATGTTAAAATATTCTAGACACTTTCGATAATTCCGCCGACACTTCGTAGATCTCAGAAGAACGATCGGAATTTACATTGCAACTTTTCTTTGAAGAGCATCGCGTGAGCGATGTCGTCGCTAGACCTTGGCAAGTCGCACCACATAGAGATTTCGGATAATTTATTTTACGTGTGTAAGCAAACGCGAATATTGACTGATAAAACTGTCTCCGTTTAAACGATTGATATATTTTTACATATTAATCTTTATTCATGATTCAATTCTGTTTTTTACAAAAAATTCTATTAAAAACATCATTATCGACATCATTATCGGATCTCTTATCTTTTCCGCGACTCATAAATTAAATCATTAACAAAACACTTAAACTTTTATTTATTTGATAAAACTGATACTTGTAAAGAAAAAAAAATATCGTCTAAATATTTAATATCTTTTGCTTTAATTTGCCTTGATAATGATACATTGCTGATTTAGATAATCAACAATGTATCATTATCAAGGCAAATTAAAGCAAAAGATATTTAGACGATAATTAAATAGAGATACGCGGAGCGTTAAATAAGACGAGTGTGCAAAATTAAAAGCTAGTTTAAAAGAACTAAGTCTACTAATTAGAAAAAAAGAAGAGTACAAAATTTTCTCTCCTAATTACGTGGGATTGCTGGCTGCAACAATCTCCGTATCTCGGCCATAATTCTGTATCGCGACCTCGAATTACGGTAGCCCACTCACGGCCTCGGACACGCAAAGATGCACTAATAGCCATCCGAGACGTCTAACTTCCCGCATGGAGGCTTTTTGAAAGACAGTGTGCGCAGTGCGAAGTAAACCGCCGCGAGGCCATGTGCCGGCATAAAGAAACGTGTGCCAGTTACATCATCGCCGTGATCGGAACCCCCCTCCTCCCCCCCCCCGAACGAGAACAGTATCGCGCCGAACTCGCGGCTGCATCTTTCACTAGGCGGCACGGTTGTTTTCAGCTGCGAGGCGAAAGTAAAGATCCGCTAGTGCGACCCCGCAGACCCGCGCCGGGAGAACCGCGTCCATTCTCCATTAACGTTATTCTCCTCCGCGCGCCTCAAACGCGGGAAACGCAGAAACGTCGGTGTTGGTGCATCCAATTATATTTCACGTGTTACACTCGCGTGCTGTAATCTCGCTAATTGAACGCGGCGGCAACGTTATTGCCCGCGTTCGATAGACAGGACTTCCCTCGCGACGAGTGCGTGAAGATAATAGGTGCCATTTAAGGAGGCAGAAATAGCCGTCGATCGAAGAAACAATACTTTTAACGCTGATGTAATATGCGTCAACTCGACTTGGCGAACAACGGATTGTCCGTTGCGTAACGCTAGGTTTTTCTTTTTTTCTTTTTTTTTTTGCCGAGAGAGGAAAAAAGGATGCCGGTCGCGTCGCCGCGCGCGAAGTCACGAATGTCCTGACTGTACGCGTGAGACGCGTCCCAATACAGAAGATATTTAATGGTAGATCTTAATTCTATGCGTACATCTCGCGCGCGAGAGTTTCCGAGAAAATGAACAGTATTGAAAACAGCGGCGGGTAGACATTGCTGTAAGAGTAGAACGCCGCAAACAGGATATCGGTTTCGTAGAGGCTGGAGGAAGGCGTGACTATGTGTTGTACGACAACGACAAGGAAACGTTCGCTCGAAAACACACAGTTATCATGTCCGACGCGTCTATTGCGATACAGGAAAGAGACAAGCTTCTATGATATACTCCGAAATACACTGTGCAAAACAGTGTGTTCGCGAGACAAACACTTTTCGAAGCGCATCCATTAATTAATTTATACTCGCAATTGATATGATAGGATATTAATGGGGTGCAATGCCACGTGGAGATTTTTATTACAATTTATTCATAATTTATTGGCGTTATTTATACACGATGTTTTAAACCTTATGATGATAAAACATATTATCTGAATCTGCGCAGTTTCGATATCTGCCTGCATAATCAATTAAATTGTGACACTTTAGAACTTTATTTATATATTATGTTTACGCGTAGAGTAAGAGAGAGTGAGAGTTTGCGATACTTTTTTGTTCTTTCTCTGCTCAATTAGTCATCGATCAGTCAGTCATCGGTGTGTCATGTTTTGAATCAGCCAATCGCATTTCAAGTTTGAAGTCAGAGATTCAGGATGAAACTGCGTCGTTTGAGTAATCTTTGATCAAGGACAATTCTCGCGGTTAATATTGGCACTGCAGGCATAAAAATTCAGTCAGGCGGCGTGAGAGATTCGCGAGATTATTGTTTGTATTGCACGTGCACATGTACCGGCAACGCGCAAGACGCGTGACTACACACACACACACACACACACGCGCGCGCGCGCGCGCGTGAACATATATCTACGCACGTGTATGTGTGCATGAATATCGGTAGAAGGAGGTTATCTGGTAAAGCTGGAGACAGGCGACCGGCCAATAGTTGTGCGAGCGACTGCGCGATCCACGAGTGAATCGAGCGCGCGATTTCGCTTTTTCGCGACGAGTGTTTCGGTCGAGGGACACGCCGTGCCTGGTAGAGATTCCGGATAGATTTTAGATGAAAGTAGATCGATCATCCGTCGAAATCGTGCTATCATGCCGCAGGAAAACGAGAAGACCGGCAACGGCGTCGCGTCATCGAGGGTCGTAACAAAGGACTGCAACAGTCTTTCGACCGGAGGCGACTCGGAGAAACAGAGAGCACCCGGCAAGCAGAAGGCCGATGACCAGGGGCAGAAGAATCTAGAACTTTACAAGTGCGCTGACGATATGCCGGAGCTCAAAAGTGATCATGAATTACAGAGAGACGACGAACAGATCAGCCTGGACCTGAGCGAACCGCCGCCGGAAATCATGGAATACGCTAGAAGGGAATTAGGAGAGACCGATGAGGTCAAATGTCAAACGCTACAGGAATTCCGCGACATGATCTATGGTACTTTAAATTGGAGCATTAATCCGAAACGAACATGTAAATTGTTCTGTCAGAAAAAAAGTATAATTGCATAATTTTGAATTTTATTGTCGTAACAATTGCCTGTATAATATCGATGTTTTTTTTCAAATGTATGTAATTTTGCTTATAAATATCACATCATCAAATATCATAATTATGCTGGATTCAAGATGTGTTAGTTTTTTTGAAGTATTAAATTTAAAGTGAATTTAATTGGGCAAATATATAAATATAAAGAGGTGAAAAAGTTTATAAGTGGGGAGAATTTTCTGATATTTTCCGATTAGTAAAAATGTTAAAATATTCATGATAGTGCTCCTATTGTTTGGCGTCAATAAGATTATGATATGTGCATTCTTTCGCAGAAAGGGGCGAGTGTCTACCACACAGGATGGATGACGATTTTCTCATCAGATTTCTTCGCGCCAGAAACTTTAACACAAAGAGCGCGCATAGACTGGTGAGTTATAGACATTGACAATGACATTTAGCATAAAACGGACAGTTTAAATCGATTAAAAAGACATACGCTTTCATTATTAAAGGGATGCTCGCGGCATTGTGCTTTTTGTCAGGTAAAGTAGATGATAACAGTTTATCGCGCATAAGTATGTGAATATGAATGTTAGTTTAATGATAAAAAGAAAAATAATGGAAATGGAAAACTTCAAAGGCATTTAGGTATTATGGCTGAAAAATGTGCAAAAATAACCAGTTATTAGTATTCGCTGTTTTGCGATATCTTGCGGATCAAATTTTTAATAAAACATTATGATTATAGATCCATACATGAATAATTAGCTATTTATCATTTAATAATCACTCATTCTTTCTTGATCACGTAACATATGCATGTTTCATAGTAAACATATAGAAGATTATGAAAGATTGACGAAGATTATGGAAGGTTGAATTTAATTATGTGCATATCTATAGAGTATGCGCGTAAATAAATAAAAATCAAGTTATATATGCAAATTATACGTAGAAAAACCTAAAATAAGTTATATAAATATCGATGAAAAGTCTTGAAGAATCTATTGTTTTATCTATTGTTGTATTTCGTGCTCACTTACGAAATACATAAAAAATTTTTGTTGTCAGTATTGTAAATATTCTATAAATAAATTAAATACATTATTTGCGAGTAATTAAATAACAGTTTTATAAGTACTGCCAAAATAATATCAAACACATTGCCCAAATAAATAAAGTCAGTCTGATAGTTGTTAATCCCTAGCACTTGTTGAATCGCTGAAATATTCAAGCATTAAAATGAAATAAACGCTTATCTGAAGCATCAAATCTGTTATTACGCAAAAAAGAATCAACACTAAAATTTCTTTTACAAATAGTTTTAGAGAGCTAGTTTTAGAATTAATTATGAAACATATACGTATAATTTATTTAGAGATACATTAAAAATATTTTTAATATTATTTTCGTCTTTTAAATCTTTCTGCAATGGTGTTTATTTACAAATATTCTCTCTAAATATGTTATTTATATATAGAATTATTTATGTATGGAATTAAAAAAAATTGTTTGAGAAATTTAAAATTGTGAATTAATAAACAAAGCTTAATGATAAGTATGTGGCTAATTACCATAAATGGATTTGGAAATTTGTAATATTAGATTTTATAATAAATTTTGTTGGCATTGCAATATTATGGACATTATGTAGGTAAGTGATATTTATCTTTTTCTGATTGCTATAAACAAGTCAATTCTGCATAATTATTGATTCTCATTTTAGAGAATTACATCATTAGGGTCATTAGCAAGACTGGGTATTAAAAAAAAATGAGGTAATTTTATCGTATACAGTTTATGTCCAATCATAAGAATCAATCAACTCAATGCAACTTCGCAACGACAGTTATATCTAGAAATTTGTTTCTTTCTTACTGAGAATAGATAATATAATTCCAATTGATTTAATCCCAACATAAATTTTCCTTATTCTTTTATCTCCTATCATCTTATATTATGTTGTGAATTTTGCTCTTGTATAATATAGCCAAAATTGACGAATTACTTCTTCAAATGGAATTACTAGATATTATGATGATTTCTAATCATTGATTAAACATATTTCTGTATAGGCCTATATAGGCTAAAAATATTATTTTTAATTATTTTCAGTTGTTGCCTATTTCTATAAAATAATATATATTATCTATGACCTTTGACGGCAATTAACAGTAGAAAATACATCAATGTGTAAAGCGCGAACACGAAGTAAACCTGTTGGTTGCACAATTGTGTCAAGGTGAACTGATCCTTTCGAGATTTGAAATACGGGTAAAATACTATTCTACGAAAATGGAACTAGTGAAAGCACAACGAAAGGATTCAAAGCTTTTTAACAGAGTAGGTCTTAATAATTCAATCAAAGACCATGATGTAATCGCATTATTTTAATGACACGAAAATTGATATAATTTTAAAATAATTCTCTGCCAAAATCAACTCTAAGACGATTCGATCATAAACTTCTCTATTTGCATATGCATAAGGAAACAAGCGGGCTATTCATAAATGCAATTGCCGAGAGCAGTCGAATGAATAATTGATTAATGGTATAATCTATATCTACCTAACGAACAAAACGACACTTATCTTAATAGCGCGATAATAATTATTTGAATTTTAATTGATGATTTTATGATGCAAATCTCACGAAACATTTTCGTAACGCTCGAATGACAGAGCGAGAGGTCGATTTCTCTCAAAAAGTTTTTTTCGCAATAGATAGTGAATTACTATAACTTCAAAGAGGAACATCCGGAGATCCATCAGCAGATGAACTCGTCCGAGATGAGGTTCATAGGTGACGACAACATAATTACGGTACCGCCATACAGAACTCAATGTGGGAGACGCTTACTGATTTACCGTATCGGCAATTGGGATCCACGTAAATGTTCTGTCGACGAGCTTTTCAAGGCCACGGTCGGAATTCTCGAGCTTGGTATTCTTGAGCCGAGACAGCAAATCATGGGCGGTATCGTCATTTTCGATCTTAAGAATATCTCCATGACACACGCGTGGACCGTGACACCTCAGGTACATTGTTATTATTCCCTTTTTTTTTTTGCCACATACGATCTGTGTTATTTGCGTTAAATGTAATGTGCGAATTTAAGGAAGCATTAATAGACATTAGCATTGGAGACATATGAGATAAATCCACCTTTTAGGTGGCGAGCATGATGCTGTCCCTGATGGTAACCGCGTTTCCTGTAAGGTTACACTCGTTACACATCCTCCATCAATCGTGGGTCTTCGATGCGATTTTCGCAGTCTTCAAACCGCTGCTCGACAGCAATATGCGAAATAAAATATTCTTTCACGGTAACAACTACGAAAGTCTCTACAAACACGTCTCACCTCAGTACTTGCCGAAGATATATGGGGGTGTGAGAGAGGAGCTGCCTTACTGGAAATGGATCGCAGCCATAATCAAAGATCCGAAAATTGTTGAAGAGATGAGCAAAATGGGATATTTTGTCACGGATGATATTCGCAAGTCCTTCATCTTAAGTTAAAATCGAGTTTTCTGAGAAAAACTTTAACAAGAGAATATTAAAATTAATATTTTGTACACGCGATTACTCAGCAGTTATTAGTCTGCACGTTCTTATTATCAATATCGCCATTTAATTTGTAGTTATCGCATCTTTCAACCTGTCGATGAAGACATATATAGGCTTTCAATACGCTTTATTTAGGTTTATTTAGGTTTAAATTTTAGTTAATTTTAGATTAATTTTAGAGCGATCCTAAACGTGAAAATATTTTTACGTTATTTATATCCGAGATATATTGTACTTGTGATTATATATTCAATGTATTGATAATTAAAGTCTAAAAATAAAAATTTTGCTACGATTAGACGGGCGAGTAATCATCTATATTAAGCCACACGTTACCGCTGTTCCGATATTTCGCGATACACGATACGGTTACGATTGCAGCTGCTATATCGCGCCTAATGTCCGCGAGCGATAAGAATCATTATGTTTCTCTGCACGCTTCCACCTGATGAACCTAATGCTATTTTGGCTACACGCCGAGTCACTCCCATCGACATGAGAGTTGATTTCCTCTTCCCGCAATTTATCAACAGGCCTGCTATCGATTGACTATCGAGAAACAATCCATCATTGTTGTGAGTTTTGATGCACTTTACGATGCATGCCCCGATTAATTGAGACTCGGATTCTCTCTGCTCGTAGCGAGATCGCGACGAATGCGAATAGAAATCACGGACCGTGACTCGAGAGAGACGATCGGGTTATTGGCGTTTTCAGTAGAGGCAAAAGTGATTTCGCGATGATATGTGATCCGAGAAATATGAACAACGAGCGCAATTCATTCCGGTGATAAGCGCTTTATTATAGAAAAATTAGGGCGTCAAAGGTCGATGACCGGAAGAAGAATCGCGTTAACTTATTGAGAGCGAATAATTGAAATTTAAAGCGAGTAACTGAACGTACCGACATCATGAGAGTTAGATAAATAATTTTACAACAAATAACTATTTATTTAGTTATGTTTGTTAATTTCGAATAGATAGTCAAGTTGCGATAATATCCGCGATCAAGGATCATAACGTGACGTAGATACAGATGATATATTAGATAAGAGAATCTCTTGCAAAAACGATTATGCGATTAATCGGCACAATATTTTCTGAATAACTTTATACATTACATTATTTTATATAAATTTTACATTTTATATATTATATATAAAATTACAATATTTTTTCAAACGTAATAAGAAAGAAGACAAGATGAGAAGCAAAGAATTCCATGATCATTGAGAACTAGAACGCAATTAGACTGCTTCGCATAGAATAATGATTAATAAATGGACAATTCAGATTTAATTGATACTTTTTCGACCGGGATTTAATAGCATACGTCCGAAATAAAGTAGCTTCCTCCTGAAAACTGTGGCGGTTTCATTGATGAAAGAATGAAAGACAAATTAAATATTTATAATTTAGAAACTATTAATATCCCTGGATTTAAATGATTTTAAAGGGTCCCTGGATTTAATTCAGTCTCTTCAACAGAAAACCTGTTTAACTTTTGACGCATCTTGAATAATAAAAGTCGGAGTAGGTAATTACTACTCGTCTTGATACAAATTTTCTTATTACTCCTTCTTTCGATGTAACTGTTATATTCGCAAATTATTGTAGTTCCAATTATTTCACGATTAGCTAAGAAACTTTGAAAGAGGAAAACTATATAGTGCTCAAGGGATTCGCACGAGCCAATTGTGCTCGCCTGTCCTAAAATAAGAACTCGGCCGCTCCGGGATGAACTCGAGATAGAATCAGGAAGATGAGACCGTGCGCGCGGGGATGCAGTTAGGCCGGCGGGTACGTAGGTAGGACCGTAAAGGAGGCGCAGGTAGGGCCTGGCGTCAACTGCTGGGGTTTGTGGTGGTTGATATCGACCCGGGTCGGAGGGTCGTGTAGCACTCAGGATCGCAAGGCGCACGCCTGGACGTGGACGGGAGCGTGGCGCGAGAAGGAGAGCGGCGCGGGAAGGTAAAATAGACGGAGATAAATAGATAGAGAGACGCGGAGGGTGGCGAGGAAGGTGGAGAGTATCGATGTATATACGTATACACGATCGTGGAGGTAGGTCGTGCAGAAGAGGTAGCAGGAACCCGCTGGTAGTAGCAACCCGGCTAGCTAGCGCACCCCATCCATCGCGGGTGCAGCCACCGCATCCCGAGAGAGAAGCTTAGTCCGGCTTGTCTCGGCGCGCATGTGTGCGTGTGTGCGTGAGTAGTGCGAGAGTGGTGCTCGATTCGAGTGCGCGCGCGCGCGTGTATGTGTGTGTGTGTGTGTGTGTGAGAGATGTGTGTGCGAGTGTGAGAGTCGCTTTATCATCCGGATAGCATCTGCGTCAGCGAGCTCGGGGGAATCCTAGACGCGTTCCGGTGCTCTACCACTAGACTCCGAGTTCGCGGGCAAGGCAAGACTACGCTCACCCCATCCGCCCTCGCCTCTCGGCGAGGCGGTGGAACGTGCGGCGAGGAGGAATATTATACCCGGGACTTTACCCGGGTGGAAGTGCGTTATCCCGAAGGTTCCATGTACATTCACGAGGAGGAGGAAAAGAAGGTAGCCATGATCGGACGATCGTCCCCATAGAGAAGGACAATACAGAGGATGGACAGGATGTTGCGGTAGAACGTGACAAGAGGAGTAGTGTGACGGTGCGTGGTGCGCGAAAGACGACGACGACGACGACGACGACGACGATTGTTAAACCGGCGCCATGTCGCAGCGACAACAAACGCCGACCAACGAGGATTCTTACCTGAGCTGTGGCAGGCCGTCAAACTTACTGAAGACCAGCTTCAGCAGCGCCCGTCTCGAGAAGCTCTATCGCGCCTCGTCGTTGCAGCAGCGTCGCGGTGGCCTCACGTGCTTCCTGATGTCGGCGATCCTGTACGGCGTCTACACGGTGTCAATGCCGGGGCTGGAGTTGCCGGCGCGTGGCGTCAGCGCCGTGTTCCTCAGCCTGAACATCGTCCTGCTGGTCTGGGCCGAACGCGGCACCAAAGCACGTAACTCGCTGTGGTCCGTGGTGCCGTGCATAGTCGGACAGCTGTGGATCGTCCACCTGCCCGCTCAGCTGTTCCTCAAGTCCACCAAGGTCACGCCGAGGGACGGCCTAGGTTGGATGCTGCTGTTGCTGTACCTGCTCTTCGCCACCTTGCCGCTCAAGCTGTGCCGCTGCACGTCTCTCGCGCTCGGCAGCGTGCTCGTATATTTCGTCGCTGTGATCGGTCTGTCCAGCACGACGTTGGAAGAGCTTAAGACGCAGCCCATCGACGTTCTGGTAGGTAATAATGATGTCTCGTCGAATCCGAGTCGGGTTCAAATTGCCGAGAGAACCCGCGTGAATCTGAAGCCCGCGCCCATCCCCTACGCGAGATGATAGATCGAAGAGCGAATTGGGCGGCGGGGGCTATAGATTTACAGAAGCACCGTTGGCGGATCGAATCTTCCTTAATTCGCGAACGCGTGGAAATACTTGTCGTTTAATCTACGCGAAAACTAGTCCTGCGAAAGCTCGCGTAATCCACCACGTGACCTCTTTCCATTTATAGCACCCCTCTATAAAGTTATTAAAAATAACTTGAATACTCATATACACCGCATTCTATATTTAATAAGTCAGTCCCTTCGATCGTGCCTAAAAACGGCGATAACGAGCTTAGAACGCGAATACCGTAGCTTCTATGATTACCTTCGAGAGAGAGAGAGAGAGAGAGAGAGAGAGGCAACTGTCAGTCGAGAAGAGAGCGAAATCTCAAATCCGTGAACAATACGTGCCTGCCTCGTCGAGATCGTTTGGAAGTGACGCGAGCACAATTGCGCGTGACATAAAAGAAAAATAAATAAATAAGCGAACAAAAGCTACGGACATAGCGCGCGTGTGTTGATTGCGAGCAAGGGGTTAAACGCTTTCCACGCTTTCCGATACGCGCGGTGGATGGAAACAACGGTGTCGCCGACGCCGACTTCGACAAACTAATTCACTGTCAACCGTAGACCGGTGGCGCGTGCACCAACAATCGATCCAAGTTCAACGAGGCGTATCTCCGCTGTCTTTATGAATACGCGACATACATGGTTGCGAAGAGAAAAAAATAAATTACAAATTTCACGTTGCAGCTTCGACTCTCGTGAGGAATGGAGGATATCGATAAAAAGTCGATGATAAGTAATATGATGAAATGTTTCATTAAGTGCTGTCAGAATCCAACGCGTATTATTAAAATGTCTCTCCATTAAAACGTAGGAAGGAAGAAACGTATTCGTGTGGGCTACGCGAGCGACGTATTTAGCAGTACTATTAATTGCAAATTATACTATTTTTGGTGGTAACTCTTGACCTTAGACACCATGCATCGTTGATGTTCACCACAACCAACGCGATTTACGCTGCGTTTATCGCGTCACATCGATACATTCGCATCGGAGATCAAGGGCACTACGAATGATTTCTTCTCCATTAATTACGGTTTTTATCGCTATTCGATCATTCGCCATAATTTAACTTATTTGTTCGAAGTAGCTTTTGTTGAGATAATTACTGATAGTATAATCACCGATTGAAATCGTTGGCCATATTTACTCATCAGAACATCTATTGAAACTGCCCTCATTGTTGAAGAATTTTCCCAACAATTATCATTATTATTATTAAATAATTACTCGATTCATTAACGTACAAGGAATATAATATGTATTAACGAAATGAAATATATAATTATTACCTGTCTGTCTGAAAATTGATACGTACAACTCGCTATGCTCATCACGTTGGCTTGTGTTATCGATCTTCGTACACGATGTAATGCCATTGTTAAAGCGATGATAGTACTCGCGCAACTATGTATCGCCAGTAAAGTTGGACTTGTATATTCCTTTGTCTTGATATGTGGCATTGAACACACCGATAACCAAGCCAAGTAGTTTGTTGCTTCCGCGTATCTCGCATATCTCGTGAGTGCGGTTTCAAGTGCACGTGATACACGTTGAAGAAGATACGACTCGCGAAGCGATTGCTTCACCTCGCGCTTTCCCTCCTCTTCTCTCTCTTCCTCTCTAAATATTTTCTCTGCAATTCATTTCACCGCAAAGAATAGCAAGAATACAACTTATTATTGTATCAACTTGAAGCAATCGCGTTGGAGTTTCTTATACTCGAAGATCCTTTTTGTTTCACCAAAAGTGACATCATATTTTTCTTCACTTTATTTTTCTTCACCTCATCCACTTGTGACAATCAACTTTTTGTAAGGAAGAAAAAGTTCAGCAAGAAATATTCAGAGCGTATATACGCTGAATGATTTACCCGCGTTTGCCGGCTGCGCCGTTATTGCCGGGAATTTTAACAGATAATTGGCTTCATTGATCTACAATAGCACAGCGCGGCTGATATAGTAAACAGGTGCATCGGCCGAGGCAGTGCGAAACTTTCGGCAGCGAATATCGTGTGAAAGCGAAAGCTGGAAGTAGACGTGCGGCACGTGGCTCTCGTCGTTAGTAACACTCGAGTAGAGTTTGGTCAATGGTAGTTTAAAATAGAGAGCGATGAAGGTAGAGGCACGTAATGAGAGCGAAATAGAGTGAGAGAGAGAGAGAGAGAGAGAGAGAGAGAGAGAGAGAGAGAGAGAGAGAGAGAGAGAGAGAGAGAGAGAGAGAGAGAGTAGTAGTAGTAGTAGTACGTAGTACGTACGTACGTACGTACGTAACGTACGTAAGTAAGTAAGTAGTACGAGTAGAGAGTAGTAGTAAGTAGTAGAGTAGAGAAGATAGAGAGTGAGAGAGAGAGAGAGAGAAGGACAAAGAGAGCGAGAGAACGGCGCTGCGCAACGATGCGAGAGGTTGCCTTTCGATACGCGACGCGCTCGATGCTTTTTCACTGGGAATGAACTGACTACCGTTCACCAATATGGTGGAATGTCACCTGGAAAAGTGACGCAGTCGAGATATGGGCCGCATTTGTCGCCGACGGAAAAAATATCGCGCAAATCTGTTACCCCTCGCGAAGCTTCACCCATTTATCTTTAAAGATAAATGTAGAGTTGTCCATTTTGTTTGATTTTTTTTTTTTATATATTTATACTAGAGGCAGTACGTTAATATTCTGAAAGAAAACTTCGGAAAAGTACTGCGTACTATATTTCGTATATGTTTTTTTACGTTGCCAATTTTACCGCCTCACAATTTGTCGCTTAGATTTAGGGGCGTTTTTATGGAAATAAGTCTTTTATCTTTCAACCCCGTCAAGATGAGGATAATATTTTCCGTCCCTTAAATCTAAGCGACAAATTGTGAGGCAGTAAAATTGGCAAAAGATGAAAGGTAATTACAGCCGCGGTTTGTAATTAAGTCTTGACGGAGGGTGTCCTAATAAACTCTCGCCAAGTTGACGCGACCGGATCGCTCCTGTGGGGTGCCAAGTGTTCATAAAATCAGCTTCGTAAAAATACTGCCTTCTGCAGATCCTGACGGTGACGCTCTTCGCCGGCGCCGCTATTTTGGGCGCTTGCGGATACTGCCTGGCGGAGTTCCAGCAGCGTCGTGCGTTCCTGGAGACCAGGCAGAGCTTGGAGGTCCAGCTGATGATCGAGGAGCAGAGCGCCGAGCAGGAGCGGCTGCTGCTCAGCGTCCTGCCGGAGCACGTCGCGGTCAAGATGCGGCAAGACCTCGGGGCGTCCCTCGACACGCAGTTCAAGAAGATCTACATGTCCAGGCATGAGAACGTGTCGATACTTTACGCCGACATAGTCGGCTTCACCGCGATCTCCTCGACTTACAGCGCCAGCGAGCTGGTCAAGATACTCAACGAGCTCTTCGCGCGGTTCGATCAACTTAGCGAACGGTACATATACTTTTTTTTTTCAAAGTTTTTCTAGACGGCTTTGATACATCCATATGATATTACATTAGTAATAATTAATATGATGACCTTTATGTTGAAGAAGAGAACGCTTGATATCCCTATTAATTTAACAGCTGTGGTTTTTCTTATTACATTTGCGCGTTTTTTTACATTCGCTCTATCGATCTCACGAGTAAAATGCAACACGCACAAGGTGAAAAACGTTGCGGTTCAAGCAAATCGATATCGTAAATACCCACGGTGTTTCAGTTTCGTTAAAAATTAATTTTTAATGATGTAGAGAATTGGGATATTTGAAATAGTAACGTCGTATAATAACACTGGGATAGCTAAAATTTAAAGAAAAATTTAAATTACACATTTGTTATCTACGTAGCGAGTTATTTATATCTCGACCCAATATATTAACCGGGACTTCGCGTGCTATTGAATGATAATCGTAAAACGGCACGGGCAAAATGGTAAAATTCCGTAGCTCGCGCGTTCCATTTCCGCCGGGGATAATGAAAATTGTATGATCGGTTCGACGACGAAATTGATTCCATCAGCAAATTCCCTGTCGATTTTGTCTTCGGCTACTCCGTAAATTCTGTCGCAGGGGGGAGGTCCTTCGGGGACACCGGCAATCGATATCCCCGGGGACCGGGGATTTCCATCGCCGCCAAATGCACTTTGCAGCTTACGTGATTATCATCCGTCGTCGCGTATATTTATGGCGTTTATTTATAGCCAGGATATCTCTCCGTGTCATGAAGAAACATTAAGAATATTTTCCAATTGATTAGGCAAATGGGAGTTATGCGATTTGTATGGAATCTCTATTTCCAGATACGAACAACTGCGCATAAAAATCTTGGGGGATTGTTACTATTGCATAAGTGGTGCTCCCGTGGAAAGGCCAGACCACGCGGTCCTCTGCGTGTATATGGGGCTGTCCATGGTGGAGGCGATTAAATATGTTCAACAAACGACGAACAGCCCCGTCGACATGAGAGTGGGTATTCACACGGGTGCGGTACTCGCTGGGGTCCTCGGACAGAGACAATGGCAATTCGACGTTTACAGCAAAGACGTCGAGCTAGCGAACAAAATGGAGAGCAGCGGAAGGGCAGGGTAAGAAAAGCTACTTACAAAATTGTTCAATTTGGGAGCACGATTATAAAGATGTGTTTATTGCTTAGGAATTCATCACTGGGATAAAAAGATCTGATTTTTTTTAATTAATGCTAAAAATATATTGTTTCATCTTAATTTTTGGCAATAAATTATTAATTTGGTGGGAAACATTATTTGCTTGGATATTAATGATGATCGCGAATAAAAGAATAACAAAGTATTTTATTTATTTGCTGAGAGAGGCTGCGCTCGCGTGCTGAGTGTATAAATAAATAAATGCTTAAAGGAGGGTACACATCTCGAATGCGACGTTGAGCTTCTTAAATGGGGAATTCGAGGTCGAGCCGGCGCACGGGGAGGATCGGGAAGAGGCACTTCAAAAGGCTGGCCTCGTCACTTACTTTATCGTAAGGGCCTTGAAGCCATTTAAGCCGGCGGTGACGAAAAGCCTCGCGTCGCTGGCGGATGCGGAAAACTCGCAAAAAATAATAGAGAACGTGCAAGACAGGGGGGACAATAGTCGGGAGGACTCCGAAGAATTTCAGCAACGTTTGAGGAAGAAACTCGACAGTAGAGGTAAAGATGAAAAAATCGTACATCCCGAGTTAAAGCCGCGGAACGTTACCTAAAAAAACTCGGCAAAATTAAATCCGAGGAGATCGAGGATGGAACATTGTTTCATTCCAACGTGGTAAGCGGCTTAAAAATTCGCGCATGCGTTCGCAAAGTGTTACTCACATCGGGTGTTGCGAATTATCGACGCGAGCACTGATTACAATCGGCGCTCGCCGACTACGGGCGAGCGTGTCGCTATGTTGATTAACATAATTTAATTACATAAGAAACGCGAAATTGCGAAAGAATCTTAGATACATTTAAAGATTTTTAGATGCATTCAAGCTTAAGATATGTTGAGGGAAAATTCATTTTTTTGCAAAGTAATCTCTTGTTGTCAAGATTATATAAATTCATTTGATTTTTCGAATGTTTTTTCACGGATAAAAACGAGAAATTACTCGCAGCAGCATGGTTAATTTAATTATTACTCAATGCCAATTATCGGACATCCGGCTTGTTAATGAGTTAACTTTATATGTGACGTCAGCATACGAATACTCGTAGGTGGTGGTACCGACCTGAAAGGTCATGCCTCCTGGTTGACCTTACGGTTCAAGGATCCGAACGTGGAGACGGCATTCCATAGCGTCGAGGAGGCCTTTTCACCCTTATCGCTTCTTGGCGGGCCTCTGGTTACGATGTGCGCGGCTCCAGTCTGGAGGTTGCAGCCTTGGGGACCGTTCACGTGGGGTGGCGCAGGGGTGGTTACTCTCTTCGGCATCGTGTTGGCTGGAGCCACCTGCCTGGGCAGCGCCGTTAGGGCGACGTGGCTCAGAAGCACCCTCGCACTTCTTATGACATTCTCCCTCATAATCTTCCTGTTGCTAGACATGGTACGAACTCGGACAGTTGCTTTCAATCGATACTTGTTGCTGCAGCTCGACTATTTGCACGATTGAATTCTTTTTCCTAATCACTTCACTTATCTCAGAAAATCTCAAACTAATTCTTTACAACTTGTAAAGCGAAATTACAAGAATATCAAGCGTATTTTAGATTCTATTTTCTCAAACAAATATTTAACGGACAAGTCCTCGACATTGTTTTCAACATTAAAAAGAAATTTATTGCTGTTTATATTTTTAATATTCTAATATGCTTTTTGCTATAACATGTTTTTAAAATAAACAAGAATGAATATTATTCTGCACGTTATTTTTTTATCTGTTTTATGTAGACCAACTGTGCGATCATCGACGATATCGAACCGCCGAAAAACACTTCGCTGAATTGGTCCCCGCGATGTCCATATCCTTCTTATTATTCATATATCGGTGTCCTCGCGCTGATCGCTATTTCGATGCCAACGTATCTCTGTTACCTGACCAAGGCGTGCCTGATATATTTCCTTGTCGGCGCGCAGTCCTGCATTAATGTCCTGTTCCTCGCATCGAGTCTCGACAGAGAAGATGTGACGTCGAACCAGTCCGGACTTATGGCCTTTCCACTGAAATATTCTCTGGCAGCCACTTTGTTCGTCATCGCGACTACCCTAATTATTGTGGCAAGATATGTAAGTATAAAACGGTTTATACTCAGAAAGATTTTAGCAATTGAATAGTATAAAAAAAAAATAAAAATAACGTTGAATAATTTAATAAGTAAAATATTGTCTCATATTTATATTGTAATTGAATAAATAATTATTGAATAAATAAATATTAGAGTTTGTTTTATGTAATAATAATAATAATTTTCATATAAATTTTAAACATTTTGTTTTTTATATTTTTGAAATATAATTATTTAGTCACTCACTTGAAACGTAATTTTATGTGTCAATGTCATGTTACATTTTTAAATTAAATATTAATTAATTATTGATTGCTAAGATAAGTATCTATACTAATAAATATACAAGAATTTTATTTCAAAGAGCATTATTCCAGGCAGGATTCGAAACTGGATCTCTTATTCGAGACTGATGTTTTTATCAATAATATTGAATAAATAACGAATAAACTTGCGCGTGCTAGAAAATATTGATGACGGCTGATTGCTACATGCTTTAACGGGAAAATACATCGGTTTTATATATATATATATATTACATTTGCGCAAATCGATCCGCAGTGCGATCTTACAGCACGCGAGAATGGAACGACTCGCGAAAATGATTCCTTTCTTCAAGGACAGTATGTCGATAAAAGAATAATCAATTCTCACGGGTCTATAAAATCGCGCCGACAATCTATTTTGTGTCACGTTAAATTCGATATCAAAAGCGGCATCACGAATATCTTTTAGCGCACTATTCATACAAATTGGCAATGTCGACGACATATTTTTTTTAAGAATTACACACTTTGATTTTTCGAGTGATATTTTGAGTTAAATTATTTCGTCACTGAAAGCACTGCTTCGCTTCGCGTTATCAAACAAATAAACCGCAAGCGCTGTTGTAATTTTCCCGATAAATAACGACTCGATAATCGCTATTGGAAGCGAAATAGAAACATAATCCATTTGTGCGTAACAACGATGACGAGTTCGATCGAGAAATTGGACCTCGAGTAATTCGCGATTTTTGAGTGAGCTTTTCACGGCATATTGAGTGACATTCTATCCCAGCGCGATCCTCTATCTGTCCGCTATTGAAAGCGCCGAGTGCGAGGAAGGCGAAAGCAATTTCACGGAATTTTCGTCCTAATGAGACGTTTCCTTTCTCATCATCTCACAGAAATACAACTCGCGTGTGCAAGTTCTATGAAATGTGAGAGAAAATTCTGTAGATAAACTCAAGTGATCATGTACAAAACATTTTTACTATAATTACCTATAATTTCAAGTAATATTGAATTAATGCAAAGATGTATAATTAAAGATGATTTAATTGCGAGCGGAACTTCTAATCTTTCGAGTCGTTTTATTCAATCGCGAAAGATTACGAATGGTGATTTTATTGACAGATGACACTACACTACACAAATATTTTATGCAGGCCGAGACGGCGCGAAGGATGTTGTACCTGCGAGGACGAGAGGTGATCGCACAGCGGGAACGAGCGGCAGACATGAAGCGGAGAAACGGCGCGCTGATATACAACATCCTGCCGACACACGTGGCCACTTATTTCCTGTCGCACGCGAGGCACCACGACGATCTTTATAGCCAGAGCTACGCCGAGGTGGGCGTGCTGTTCGCCAGCATGCCCAATTTTGCGGACTTCTACAGCGAGGAGAGCATAAACAATCAAGGCCTCGAGTGCCTCAGATTTCTGAACGAAGTCATCTCCGACTTCGACGCCGTAAGTTTCCCCGTTTTATTTCCCGCGAAATTTCCCGCGAAGTTATAGTAACCGACTTTACGGCTGACTTATAATTCACTTTAACGTCACGTTCGGTTAGATCCTCGATCAGAAGAAGTTCAAGAGCATCATTAAGATCAAGACGATAGGGTCGACCTACATGGCGGCCTCGGGAATAACCGAGGTGCAGTCGGTGCAGTCGGAGGACGGTCCTCGGTGGGGTCACCTCGTCACCCTCGTGGAATTCGCTCTGGAGCTTAAGAAAGCTCTGTCAAGCATCAACGAGCAAAGCTTTAATCACTTCGTTCTAAAGATGGGTATTAATCATGGACCGGTGATCGCCGGTGTCATCGGGGCACGGAAACCTCACTACGATATTTGGGGCAACACCGTCAACGTCGCGTCGAGGATGGAGAGCACAGGAAAAGTCGGCTGCATTCAGGTATCAAAAAGATGAACTAGCAATCATTCTTACGTGTTTAAATTTGTTTACTATATGTGATTTTTAATGAAGAAATTTTTATTCACATTGAAATTGAGTAATCAATATTTGTCTTAACTAAAGAAGAAATAATTTGCAGGTTACCGACGAGACGCGGAAGATTCTGGAACCGTTTGGTTTTGGCTTCGAGCAGCGAGGTCTCGTTTTCGTCAAGGGCAAAGGGCAGCTCTTAACGCATTATCTTGTCTCCAAGGATGGCGTCTTTCTCGATCTCGACAGCGATCTGCCCGTTGAACCTACTCATCCGATAATCTATCAATAATGTACTCGAAGGCTCTAATTCGAACGAGAAAACTGTGGATATCAAATTGATTCGGAAAGAACCTATTAGGATTTTTTTCGGCAGGATGTATCGAGCTGAATGTTCAAAAGGAATCTAACGTCGAATCAGTCTGATAGGCGACTTTCCGAAGCGACGAACGAGAGAAACTGGGAGTTTGCGAATCACGAATCGTAAATTAGACGACGTCTCTGTACTCCGAACGAACTTTTCTTCAAGAACGTTCGGCAAGCTAAATGTGTATTGTCGTAGAGAACTCTCTAAATGTTAGTATCCTCGTGTCTCAGGAGAAGGAAAAATGGAATGCATGTGGAAGAGGAAGGACGAGAGAAGTATCGGGGGAAGGGCGGGAAACGCGATCGCCCGGATCGTTCGCGAATGTCCGTGAGTGTTATCGTACGTCGCCATATCATCATCCGTCATCCATCATCACTGATTAACGCGAAGGGAGAAGTTTGCACACAGCTGCCGCCGACTATGTCATTGTAGTCACAACGTTCGCACGTACACGCGCACGCACGCACGCACGCACGCGCGCAACGCACGCACGCACGCACGTACGCACGCACGCACGCACGTACGCATGCACACGCGAGAGATCACGGGCGGGCGTGCGTGTATTACGAACGGCCGAGGAACTGCGTTGAACTCGTACAGGGTATATTCGAACAAGAAGAAAAGTAATAGATTTAGAAAACACGCAGATTGAAAACGGCGAACGGGACGATATTTTGATGTCGCCGTGTAAATAGCAATAGATCCGTAGGGGAGGACACAGATGTAATATCGTATAACAGAGATGTAATATAGTAACTGGTGGAACGTCGTTTCGAGGATCTGAATAACGTAGAAGTAATTCACTTCGTGTATGGTAAATCTCAATAGGACTGAACTTCTTTCCCTTGTTGTATCGATCGGACACGGCCACAACGATTTCGCGAGTTTTGTTAGTTACTGGTATTCTATTAGTAAATCGGATCCCTCTTCGTGTACGAGCAATAATCCAAAGTACTGTCATCTAAACTCGAGAGAGCCCTTCGCTAAAATCTCCGTGCCCGATCTATACGCTATACAATTCGAATGTGGATTCGATCTGCGATACTTCGTCGCCGAGGTAAAGCTTAGGAAAGCGGAGGATATTAACAGAAGCTATCCATTGTCGCGTCATCACTTCCGGTTATCAGTGACGTTTCGTACATGGCATAATTTTATTACCATTTATCCGATTACAAATCAACGATCTAGGGCGATCTAGGTCTTTTTAGGAGTCTTAGAGAATTGTAAATCTTCCGGATAAAAACACGTCATCTGTAGAGCGCACACGAAACATACATGTATATCGGAGACACATTATATATATATATATAAAACGGCGGTACTTGACAAAATGAAAATATAAGAACACTATAGGAAAACTATAAATGTGCGCCGTATAAAAGACGCAAGAAAAAAAAAGAAACGAACATCGCCGATACGGTAGTGATTTATTTTTCTACAGTCGCCGAGAGTTTATCCCAGATCAAGATGATTCGGGTATGTGCGTAACGCACACGAGGAACCTTAAAGAAATTTTCTACTGACTCTTTCGTTACGTACGACGGCATAAATTTCAGCACAAAGAAAAAAAAAAAGAACGTCTCCCCTCGCGCATGTTCAAGAGTATTTTATACACTCTTAATGAGATTCACGTGACAATTCGAGTAAGTTGCAACGCCCGTACAATATTCGCGACCATGTTGAATGTAACGAGAGAGTTGCAAAGGAAAGAGCATAGAGGGAGAGGGAGAGAGAGAGAGAGAGAGAGAGAGAAGAGTGAGAGAAGAAAAGGAGATTGAATGAGAGAGAGAGCAGGAATGAACGTGGAGAGATCGAATGGGGGTGACGAAAACAAGTAGGTATCGGCCTAAACGCGAGTGAAGCTAAGCAAATGTCAAAAATAAATACTCCTTATTTTTGGAGATAAAGAATAGAGAGAGAGAGAGAGAAAAAGCTATAGAGAAGCGATATTCTTCCAGATCGTTCCACGAATCGCGTACTTCCATTTCCGGCCGACTTCTCGCCCGCACAATCATGCATATACGCAACCAACACACGCGAAATCGACGTGTATACACGGAGACGCATCGATTGGCACGTAAACACGCGTACGTAGAAAGATCGGAGAGTTACCTTGTAAAATAGCAATAAACGAACTCTCTTTCGCGTACACACGTTACATATACTATATTTTCATGGGTCGGTAGACAGGTGGATCGACGTGTGACGTAAAACCATCTATAAAAATTAGATTAATTGAGAGAAATTAATAGAAACTCATTTTGTAAAGATTATAGATTTTCAATCCTCGCGATTGGATTTTGTAAAAATATTTTTTACTTTTCCCCTTTATTCCTCGTTAGAAGAAACAGTAGAGGGGAAATGTCGTTGCATGAAGAATAAAAGTTAATAGAGAAGTATCCAACGAGGATTTTAAATTAATCTCTGACGTCAAGGATCTAGAAGAAATTCTACCTCGCAGTCTGAATTTCTATTAATTCCTTTTGACCCATTTTATTTTTCTGCGGATAATGTGAGACGCGCGAAACGACCCGCGTGTAATCATGTAATAGTCATGTAAGGAGAATATATCACTGTTGATATGTTAGCACTTTAAATGTGACGGGGCAAATTTGGAGCAAGCGAAAACACTTGTAAAACTTTCGACTTTCTAGTGCGGCAGGCGCAGCCGCACGCAAAAATCTGAGGGTGACATGTAAAACTACGCGAGAAACCCCACTCCTGCGTCGGCGAGATAATAAATGGCGTCTTTGCCTACAAGAAAAAAAAAATGGCATTCTTTTTTTCCCTAAACAGATGCTCACAACACTTTCAAGATTTATTCACCGAGAGAATTCCAAGAGACCGTTATTTACTTTTCTGTAAACTGAACTTGCGAATCAAAGAAAGGTTCTTGATTGTTGATATAAAAGCAATTTTCAGAATATCTGGAAATTTAATTTAACTTAGAAAATAGATAAAATATATAAGATTTTATAATAAAATTCTATAAAGAAGCATAAAAAAATTGGAAGTATCAAAAGATTGATTTATGATGCAATTTAGAAAATAATTTATATCAATCATAAATTTGAAAAATAAAAGAAATAACAGAATTTTTTATATGTGTATGCCCGGCAATTTCTATAGAATTCTATTAAACACAACAGAAGTAGCAAGTATTGAAATTATTAAAATCGTCATTATAAAATCTCTTTCTAAATAATTTTAAATCAGAATTCTGCGAATTTCATGATAAAGAGTAAAACGAAATTGATAGAAGAATAATCTCGACTAACTATTCACGATTCTAAAGCTTAAAACAAATCCTTTTAATTTCCATTTGCTCATAATCAACGTTACATGCTACACTTGTTTGAATAAACAAAAAAATTGAATTACAAGAACAAAAATAAAATTAAATAGGGTTTGCCGTTAGCTAGTGATGTCGTAGATTCTATTCCTTTGTTTTGCTGGAGGAAAGGAAAGTAATTTACCGTGAAATGGGACGATCGAGAGAAGGTAATTACAACGTTCACAAGCAGTATATATTTAGCGTAGAATCGTTTAGAATCGGGAAACGCTTCGATACAATCACGGATCATGGATATTGGCACGATTAAATTCTCAACAATTTTATATCGAATCGACCCGATTTTTCATGGATATTGACATATCGGCCGATACTTAATGGAGCGCGAGAGAATCTCCGAACAAAATAGTAAGACTAATGTTAAGTACTATGTACTGCCGATCGCGAAAATCCGCGAATATTATTCCGTCAGCATCTTTTTGCACGTTTCATTTGTCCACTTCGCGTCTTTCTTACATTTAATCTCTCTTTCTCTCTCTTTCTCTCTCTCTCTCTCTCTCTCTTCTCTCTCTCTCTCTCTCTCTCTCTCTCTCTCTACTCTACTCAAAAATGTCTTATCAATTGCAGTCTTTATCCGGACATATAGAGAAGTAGAAATTTTTACATTAAAATATTCCATTTTTACTTTCATTTAACTGTGTTATCGTTGAGCCGATGATATGGTCACAGTGAAGAACCACCGAAATAATAATTTAGGTCAACTCTTTTCAGCTGCCTTTTCCATACCTCCACTTTTTCTCCTCTTTCTTTTTTTACCTCTCCCAATAAGTGTAATTTACGCCTTTCCTTTGTAAGTACCGAATGTATGGAAAAGTGCAGCGGAAAAAAGCACCTCTATTTATCTTCTTTTCGAGCAGCATTTGAAAATATGTTTTAGGATTTTTAAAATAACATGATAAAATTCGAAAATCGCAAATCGGAAAAGGTACAAAAATTATGGAGAATAGAAATTAATTTTTCACCATAAATTTAAATTTTCTTGCGAAGTCTTTGATTTCTGCATTATCGGAATCTATGAATACGCTTCATGGAATTGTAAAATGGAACATGAAGCAAAAACTCTTTTTACCAATTTTGTTTTGTTCAATGAACAGAAAAGTATCATCGAGATTCGTTTTAAATCTATCGTTGCGTATCACGTAAGGAAAGATTTTTTTTTTATACATCGTAGTGCAATACGAGCGTTACATATATGTACATACCATACAATGCGATAGTTAAAAAAATTAGAGAGCGGTAGTTCCGCTATATCGTGACGCGTCTTATTTTTAGAAATTTCGTTGCTTCGTACAGAGCACAACATCAAAGTAAAGAAGATACGCCTCCGCGACGACCATAAATATATACAATATATATAGCTGTGTATGTGTGTGTGTATATATATATATATATATATTTTATTATATATAAAACAAACGACTCTCTCTAGGCTATATGAAACAAGCTCAATTATACTTTTTTTGAGCTCTCGTGAGCTTGAAACGTAATCGAAACCGATTTTAGCAAAAATAAATTGTACCCTTTAGAAAAATTCTTTAATGAGAAGATGTATATAACAGTCAAGTTTATTTTTACTTACTGACGTAACGATCAATATGAGATTTTTATAAAAATACATGGATAGCCTCAACGTTGATCAATTGGCTAATGACATGAAAACTATTCAGCATCGCATCGAATTTCGATTTGATTTCAAGCTTCGATCGTGTTCTAGACAAAGCATAGACGAGCTGCCTTCAGATTAATATTGCATCATCGAAAGCTGCTTTATTTATCGCGGAGTGTTCGTTACTTCCGGTCGGAAGCGGAAATTTCTGACCGAGTCGCGTTTAATACTATGATTTAATTTGCCGGGAAGGAGGCCGCTCCCCGGCCGATTGTCACGGATAAAAGTTGTGTAAAGCACTTGGACAGTCGTTAGAAGTTTCTTGAAAAATGTACGAGATTATGCGTTCGCGTGCGACGTCCGTGTAAGATGGCGATTCTGCGCGCGGACAAGGCACTGCAATACAGATTTGGCCGGGAAATTTCAGTATTAAGTTAAGGTTAAATGACTAAAAGAATTCTAGCAAAAGGTCGTTTCTTGAACAGATTACGTTCGCACCAGATGCTTTCCTTTCAGATATGCAATCGGATCTGTCCGGATCGAAAGTTCAACGTACAAAAGAAAAAACGCATCACGAATTAGAGAAGATTTTTTTCGTTTCGATAAAAATGCGGAGATGCTAAAACTACGGCGATTGTTCAATTCGCCGATCGAATAGAATCTTGATTTCTATCTCCTTCTATCTCCCTTCTATCTCCTGAAAATCCGCGTTTGAATTGCGATTGAAACCGCGATTGAAGTTTCGAGCGTTTGCTCGATTGCATAAAGCATATCGTTCGCGCAGAATAGACATTTCGCAGAGACATTTCGATGGCTCGACCCACAATTGTCCTCTTCTCGTCAATTGCAGTTGCAATCCGGCTTATGTTATATAAGACTCGTCCCAGTTACCGCTTATCAAC